CATCATCATCATCATCATCATCATCGCCATCAATTCTATCATCATCATCATCAACATCATCATCATCACCACTACAACCACTATCGCCATCATCATCATCAGCAGCATTATTATTATTATTATTTCCCGCCTCACTATCATCAACATCAATACGGACATCATTTTCGTCAGAGGGGTCGATAACCTCGCCATTATTATTATTATTATAGTTGTTGTTGTTGTTATTGTTGTTGTTGATGTTTTTATCATCATTATCATCTTCATCGTCATTAAGGCCACCAAAATTATATTTAGCTGATACGGAATCAATGTTTATATTATCGTAAATTGCATCATTGTTGTTGTTGTTTATGTTCTCATTGCTGACGTCATCTTCACCGTCATCATTATCAGCATTGTGGTTGTATACGTCATCTTTGTTTACGCAATCGCGGTCTTCGTCATCATCATCATCGCCATCATTGTTATCATCATCCTTATCATCGTTATTGTGGTGACAGTAGTTGTGGTCTCCAACTGCATTACTGTCACCTTTTTGAAAGAATTAATGTTACGATTTGTCATGTTGTTGTTGTTGATGTTGTTGTTGATGTGTTGATGATGTGTTGATGATGTGTTGATGATGATGTTGTTGTTGATGTTGTTGTTGATGTTGCTGTTGATGATGATGTTGTTGTTGATGATGTTGTTGTTGTTGATGATGTTGTTGTTGTTGTTGATGATGTTGTTGTTGTTGTTGATGATGTAACATTCGTTTGCGTAATAATAATCAACATTTAAATCAGCATTACACTTCCGGCATTACATCAGATTACATATCAAATGTTGATAACAAGATAAACATATCAAAAAACGGCAGAGTAAAACTTGAGTGGCATATTCCCACGATTGCCATCTAACGCTTTTTTGCCAGGCAAAATTTGAAAAAATTTGAAAAAAAAGCTATAGAAATTAGAGGAATAATACTCTTCTCGTAATAATAATATAATGATAATGGTAATAATAATAATAATAATATAATGATAATAATAATACTCAAAATAATAATAATAATAATACTCAAAACCTAGTTATTCATACAGTACCAACAAAAATCTATTTACATCTATATCCAAAGAAAAACTTCCCTTGCTATAACCATGCAAGATGCAAAAGATGGAAAGATGCAACCGGAGTGACACGCGAGAGAATTTAATTACATTTCACTTTACATTAGTTACAGCAATAACAAAAAAATAACAATAATAATAATAATCCTCGTCGTCGTCATCATCATCTTCGTCGTGTCGCGGTCGTCATCATCATCATCATCAGCATCAACAGGATCATCAGCATCAACAGGATCATCAGCATCAACAGGATCATCATCATCAGCGTCAACAACAGGATCATCATCATCATCGTCATCATTGTAACCTGCAATGTTTGGATAGCCATTGTTTTTCTTGTCAATGAAGTTGACTTTATTTTCATCATCATCATCATCGTTTTCGTTGTTATTATCATTGTTATCATTATTATTATTATTATCATCACTATCATTACCACCAGTGGCTGCTGTGGTAGCTGCATCAGTAGCTGCTGTGGTAACTGCAACAACAGTGGTTATCCCGTTATTTTCTTCATTGAAATTACTAATATTATCATTAATAATGGCAACTGCGTTCTTGGTGATATTATCATCATCATCGTCATCGTCATCATCAGTATCATTATTATTGTTGTTGTTATTGTTGTTACTTTTATTGTTATTTTTATTGTTATTTTTATGAGACGTTTGGCATGAAGCAATGTAAATATTATTGTTCAACCAACTATCATTGTCATTACAGGGGCGATGATGATGATGATTATGGATCATGATGTTGTTGTTGTTGTTATTGTTGTTGTTGCTGCTGCTGCTGTTGTTGTCGTCGTTATCCATTGTAAGAGAATTGAAATTATCATTACTAATGTCTCTATCCTGAATGTTTGTTACATTATCTAGGTTTGTTGATGTTGTTGCTGGTGGTATCGTTGTTACTGATGTAATTATTGCTGCCATTGTTGATGACTTTAGTGTTGTTGTTAATGTTGTTGTTAATAATGCGTTATCAATAGATGTTGTATATTGTTGTTTCAAATGTGTGAGATGGGATGGTGTATTTTGCTGTTGTTGTTGTTGTTGGAATAACGATGACGGTGAAGATGATGGTGAAGATGATGACTGATGTTGTTGTTGTTGTAGATGTCGTTTCGATGATGATAATGATGGAATTGTAAATTGATGTTGTGGCTCTTTTGTATTATGAATATTCATTGATTGTTCGAGGTCACAATGCTCTGTTTGCTTTTGATGTTGCTGCTGCTTTTGATGTTGCTGTAGTTGTTGTTGCTGATGTCGGTGTTGTTGTTGTTGTTGTTGCTGTTGTTGTTGCTGCTGCTGATGTTGTTGTTGATGATGTTGTTGATATTGCTGTTGTTGTTGCTGCTGCTGTTGGTGTTGATGTTGTTGATGTTTTCGTTTTCGAGAGTGCTGTGTCGATATTTTTTGATGTCCATCTCGACTTTGTTGTTGTTGTTGTAGTTGTTGTTGTTGTTGTTGTTGTTGTCTATTAGCATCCTTGCTTTTTACACTCTGTCTCTTTGTAAGACTCGGATCGGAAACAATAGTTGCGGGTACATTTTGTTGTTGTTGTTTATATATTTGTTGTTTATGCTGTTGTTTGAGCTGGTGTTGAAGATACTGCTGAAGATATCTGTGTTGATTTTGTTGACTGTGTTGTGGTTGTGGTGATTGTTGCAGTTGTTGTTGTTGTTGCAAATGTTGTTGTTCGTTTCGTTTAGTTTCAGTGGTATGTTGTTTATGTAGTTGTTGCTTATGTAAATGTTGTTTAGGCTGTGTTGGGAAAGATTGTTGTTGCAGTTGTTGTTGTTTCTCACGACGTAGTTGATGTTGTTTGTGAAGTTTCAAACTCCTTTTGACATCACCGCTAACACTACAGCCATCACTACTAGTACCACTTTGCCATTCAGGTTGAAAAGCAGGTTGCTGCTTTTCAAGAGAGATTGAAGGGTTGTGGCTGTTGAGTTTGCTGTCAGTGTCGTTGTTGTTGTTGTTGCCAGGTGAATATTTCTCAACAATTAAACCCACACCATCGTCGCAGCCACCGTCACCAATGTTATTGTTGTTGTCGTCGTGGTTGTTGTTACCTTTTCGTTTGAAATTTTTCGCGAATTTCATCAAGAACTTCCTAAACTTTTTCATGTCTAAACTCACCAGATTATTATTATTATTGTTGTTGTTGTTGTTATTACTATTACTATTACTATTGCTGTTGCAGGCATAAATTTTGTTATCTCCAAAGCTAAAGTATATATTGTTAGTATTATTTTCGTTGTTGTAAGCATTTGAAAAACTATTATTATTATTATTGTTATCACGGGGCAAAACGATCATTTTATCACACAAATCATCACCATCATTATTATTATTATCATTATTATTATTATTATTGTTGTTGTTGTTATTATTATTGATAATGATACCAGGATTGTAATTATCAATGACATTATCCATGTAAGCAACGTTGATATCATTGACGACGGTATCATCTCCAGAGCTATCGTCATAGCTCGAGGAACTCAGGACAACGTTATCGTTATCATCATCGTTGTTGTTGCTGCTGCGTGTTGTTGTTGTTGTGTTGGTTTTATTTTTGTTGTTGTTGTTGTAAATGACATTACTGCCGCTTGATTGGCTGTTGTACTGGATGAAGTTGTTGCAGAAAATAAAGTTGTAGCAGTCGGTTTGAAATGATGTCATCAACGGAGTTGTTCTCGTCGTGGATGACGTTGATGTTATTGATGTCGTCGTATTAAAAGTTGATGTTGTTGTTGTTGTTGCTGTTGTAGCTGATGGCGCATTTGTGGATGTTGTTGTTGAACTGTTGATAGGTTGTTGAGCATCGATGTTTCCAACGTTGTTACCGATGTTGATGTAAATATTGTTGTTGCTGATGCCGTCGTCGTTGTTGATGTTGTTGCTGACACTGGTACTGCTGCTACAGCTGCTGATGTTGACGGCTTCACTGCTGCAGTTGCTTGTACGAGTGAAATAGTTGCTGCTGCTAATAAAATTACTGTCATTTAAGCTACTCTGGTAAATGTTATCATCAACAACGAGACTGACGTTCTTGAAGCTAGCCACATTGATGTTGTGGTTGTTTGTGTTGTTGTTGTCGTTGATGCTATTGCTGTTGCCGCAAAAAGAGTTGTTGTCATTTGCTCTGGTATAACCACTGATGACGTTGTTGTTCTCAAATGAAGAAGGCATGCCATTATTGGAATCCTTATTAATGCTAGAATCTATCTGGCTTCTTATTTCAGTGTTTGCAGTTGTGTTATTACAACTAAAATTAGTATTATTATTGTTATTAATGTTATTATTATTATTATTAATGTTGTAGAAGTTATCATTGAAATTGTTGACAACCGCACTAAACATATTCTGCCTGTCTTTATTAAAAATCATTCCAAGCTTGGCGTTGAATAGCTCTGCCTTTTTCTTCAGATCAACTTTTGATTGGCCAGTATCATCGGATGGATTGCTCTCATTGGTCAGATTATCTGAGAGACAACTGTCAAAAATGTTTGATTTCTTACTAAAATCTGTTCTTATACAGTCAAACGAATTTCTGTTTAGTAAGAGTTCCGTCCTATTGTTGTAGGATGAGGATGACTTGTTTGGCATGCATTTGCCAACATTGGTATTGTAATTACTGTTATTGAGATTGCTGTTGTTGTTGTTGTTGATGTCGTTGATGACAGGATTATAGTTGTTGTTAGTGTAAATAATGTTGTTATTGGTACAGATGTTAGTGTTGTTGTTATAGTCCATTGAGCAAATATTATTTTGGCTTTCATTGTGACAATTAGCTTGAGCAATAAAGTTATAGTTGTTGTAATCTTCATTAATGACTTTATCAGCCTTAATGATGTCATCACTATTATTATAATTATAATTGACGTTATTGTCGTTATTATTATTAGTGTTATTATTGTTGTTGATGATAACAGAGTTACCTTTAACCATTGGTGAAACTTTTAGTACATTTTTTAAGGCAAAAACTTTTTCAGGAGTTTTCTGTTTGGTGACTTTTTCGGTTTCCTCTTCCTCGTTATCACCATCGACATCATAGTGGTGATGGTGTCTGCCTTGGTGATAATGAGTATCGTGGTATCTGATTCTATGAACGACTTTTTGCCTATGGTGAATATTTTCTCTGAGCCTGGCTAGCTTAGGCAGTTTGAAGTTAGGATCTGCCTGTAAGCAGGATGTAAAATTTTTCTTGGCAATATATGAAGAGATCAATTTTTTCCTGTAGTTTAGTGAGTAATCTACAAATTCCTCATCTTCTTCAACAACATTTTCATCTGTGTTGTACTGCACTACGTCGTTGTTGAAATGATGATCACCCTCATCATCAGAGCTGTCATCATTTCTGTGGTATTTTTTGACTTTTTTGGACTTGCTTTTGGTGTGACATTCGTTGTACTTTCGTTTTTTGTCTACAGGGAAACCTGTTTCGTTGGCTTTCCATACATTTTTATCTATGTGTCTTTCCATGGTTTGAAATTAGATAGAAAAATCAAAGGTGAGCTTCCTGGAACAAGGGGAATGATTGAAAATTGATTGAACATAAATGAAACTTATTAAAACCATTTGAATGCAATAAATCTTTCAATTGCAACCACATACGTAAAAAATGAAAATGAAAAAATATTTGAAATGTTCACTTTTAAAGAGAAAATCCACATTTCCCAAAAAACGTATGTTACAAAATAAGCAAGCGAAACTCGATGAAATAACTCTACGAAAAGTTGGCAATTTGGTGAAATTTACAATTGAATAATAAAAAATAAATAATCATGAAATGAAAAAAATGTTAAATTTGACTTGAAAAAAGTAGCGTAATTACAATCGAGCGACGAATACGAACATGACAACTGACTTGTTTTTAATGTCACCAAGCAAGGTTTAGGTATAATGTAGAATTTATATAGGGTGATTATTTTCACGTCAAAATTATGATTTTTAAAACTTTTAAAATTTTATAAAAAAAACAAGTTTTTATTAAATTAAAAAATTAAGGTTTTATTCAAGCTATTTATGATAAAAACAATTTATTTGTATTTTTTAACAAACTTTCCATATTTTATTAACTAACATTCACTTTTAAAAAATTTTTCATATTTTTTGACGACTTAAGTTTTTAATGTCACTTATTTGAGCGTTTTTCTTATTCAAATTAACGTTTCCTGATTTTTAGATGAGAAAGTTATTGATTAGGTAGAAAAACATGGCTGGAAATTTTTGGCACAGTAGCCATTAGTAAGTATTTTTAAAAAAATCTTGTTATTTGCAAAGTTAAGTTTTTTCATATTTAATTTATTTAATAATCCTAATTAAATATATAAAATTATAAATTAATAAAGTTTGATATTTAAAATTTTTATTGTAATGACATTATTTCTAAATTCTTCTAAAGTTATTTCAATTTTTTCTCTAACAGTCAACAATGGCTTCTAGAACGGTCAGACTTGCTTAGGGAAAGACATGAAGACCTATCTGTGCTGACGGCCGAGGAATATCAGAAAATAATCATATTCTTTGCTAATGGCGAGTAGTTTTCATTGTCTAATCTTCTGGAGTTTTTGATATATATTTTAAATTTGATTTAATAACAATAATTACATTTAAATAATACATTTAATTGTACTGATTATTCATATACCTTATGATTAGTTTAAAGTAAATTTTAATTAATTAATTAAATTTTTTAGTCATCCAAGTCATGGGAGAAAACTTGAAGATGAGGCAACAAGTCATTGCAACAGCAACCATCTACTTCAAAAGATTCTATGCCAGGTCTCCTCTCTCTTTTTCTCTATTTCTCCATTTCTCTCTCTCTCTTTCTTTCTTTCATTTCCTCTCATTTCTTACACTCTCTTTTTTCTTTTTGTAAATGTATGTATGTATGTTCATGTTTTTTTATATAATTCTCATAAGGGACTATTAAAAAATAGTATTATTTATTTGATTCAGGTTTACTCTTAATTTGTTCTAACTAACCCTCTTTTTCATTTTATCATGTTTTTAGATTTATATATTTTTTTGTTACAAAAACTTAATTTTAATAAGTTTTAGTAAATTTACACTTTTTAATCTAATAAAATTTTACTTTGATTTACTTATCCATTCATTCATTCATTCATTCATTGGTTCATTTATTCATGCATTAAGGAATTCTTTCAAGTGCATTGATCCACTTTTAGTGGCCCCAACGGCTCTGTTCTTGGCTTCAAAAGTTGAGGTCAAGACATTTTTATTTTATTATTAAAATATTAATTATTATTATTATAAAAACAATAGTTATTATCATAATTATTGTTACAGTTATTAATTATAATTATTATACTTATAATAAATATTGATAATAATAATTCATGATAGGAGTTTGGAGTTGTTACAAATACAAAGCTTACTGCATGTTGTGCTCACATTTGTTGGTTTATTCTTTCATTTGTTCGTCCGTTCACTCGTTCATTATTTTATTATTTATTTTCTTTCACTCATTCACTTATCTGTTTGGGTCATTGGGTGCACATTCAATCAACCAGCCATTCAGTTGATTTTTTATAAACTTTTAATCAAGAATAAATAAATAAATGCACTAATTCATTCGTTCATCTATGCAATCATGCATTAATTCATTCTTTTCTCATTCATTCATTCTTTTACTATTTTGATTCAGTAAAGACAAAATTCAGTTATGCATATTCGACCGACTTCCCATACAGAATGCATCAGATATTAGAATGTGAATTTTTTCTGCTTGAAACTATGGTTGGTTGGTTGGTTGATTGGCTGCCTGGTTTGGGGGTTTAATATGATTGGTCAGTTGGTTTGATCTGATTGGTTAATTTGATTGATTTGAAAGTTTAAATCTGATAGGCTGGCTGATTTGATGTGATTTATTAATTTGTTTGTTTCATTAATTTGTTTGTGTAGTTGGTTGATTAGCTGGTTGGTTGATTAGCCGATTAATTATTATTATTATTCTTGTTGTTAACGTTAACATTATTAATTGTAGGATTGCTGCCTGATATTATATCACCCGTATCGATCGCTGACGCAATACATGCAGGACCTCAACAACGATGAACAACTCATGCAGATGGCCTGGTCCCTAATTATAAATATTATAATTATAAATATAATAATTATCATTTATTATTATTATTATCATTAACAGTAAAATAATAACTAATAATAATAATAATTATTATTATTTATGTAATTATAATTTATAATTTTATAGGCGGATAATAAACGACAGTCTGAGAACAGACGTTTCTCTTCTATACCCCCCATATCTAATCTCTCTTGGTTTGTTATATAAAGTTTATTATCATTATTATTATTATTTATTATTCATTATTATTATTTATTATTATTATTATTTATTATTATTACTGTTATAATTACATTCAGCCTCTCTGCATTTGGCGTCAATCATATTGAATAAAGACCTCAAGCAGTGGTTTGCTGAACTCTCTGTCGATCTGGACAAGGTGATGATGATGATGATGATGATGATGATGATGATGATGATGATAGTGGTGTCGACGACGATGATGATGATGGTTGGGACGGTGATGGTGATAGTATAGCGGAAGTATTGGTGGTGATGATGATATCGTTTTTGTGATGTCCTGATTATGTATAATCATATATTTATTAGTCCTGCTTATTTATCTATTCTTAGCTCTTGGAGATTACCAAAGAACTATTAGCACTTTATGATCTTTGGAAGACTTTTGATGAGAAAAAAGAAGTGCCGGCCTTACTCGCTAAAATGCCTAAACCGAAAGTTAATCCGTCTAGGTGAGCAACCAATCTTTCTGTCTCTCTCTCTCTCTCTTTTTCTTTCTCTATCTGTTTCTATGTGTTTGTATATATGTGTGTATATATATATATGTGTGTGTGTGTGTTGTGTATGTTTGTTTGCACTAGGTTTTAATTTAAAATGATATTAATAATGGCAGCAACAACAACAATAATAATAATAATAATGTTTTTATTAATTTTTTCCAGGCCTTCGTCGCAAGGAGCAAACAGCCAGCAGCAACAACAACAACAACAGCAGCAGCAAGATATGAACGTACAGCAGCAGCAACAACAATCGAATCAACTCATGTCCAATGTTCAATAGTGTTGCAATAACGGTGTTGCTATCTTCAATTTGATCTTGCCTCTTGTCAGCCAAAGCAAAGTAAAATCAAAGAAAGACCAAAGGATGCAGTTGCATTCAAATTTTTGAATATATTAATTAATTAATTAATTGATTAATTAATTAGTTTATTGATTGAATAATAAATAAATAAATAACATTAAATAATAGCAAGACTTATTCCTGCCAGAAAGCAATGCAATGTAATGTTTATTCACCAAATAGACTATAAAAACCTCGAAAGTTTATGATAATAATAATTCGAACATTAATTATGTTAATTATTGCTAATTAATTGACAATAATAATAATATTCGAAGAACGTAATTTCCAAAATATATATATATATATATATATATATAATATTGTATGAATTCTACTGATATATATATATAATATTGTATGAATTCTACTGATATATATATATATATATATATATATATATATATATATATATATATATATATGTTGGTAATAGACCATAATTTTTACAATATTCTATAAATTCTACCGATTAACGCCAAACATTCAGTAGAATTTATAGAATATTGTAAATATATATATATATATATATATATATATATATATATATATATATATGTGTGTGTGTGTGTGTGTGTGTGTGTGTGTACACACAGGAGGATTTTGTTTGAAAAACTTCAAAGCAGTTTAGGGGCATTTTATGATTATTTTTATTATTATTGTTTATTATTATTGTTGTTTATATATATAGGGTATATAACGTTTATTTTTAACGTTAAATTTAATGCGTGTATGTGTGTGTGTAAACAAAAATGTTTTTTTTTCATAAAATATAATATATATAATATGTTTCCATTGTGTGCGAA